TTATCTTCTCCGGAAAGTTGTTCCGCACTTACGCTCTTGGATAGGTAGCACTTACATCTATATATTAGTCTTCCCGAGGGTCTCTTCGTTGTCTCGTCAAGCGTCGCGTCCAGCAGCCGCGAAGTACACAAGTTACACAAGAATTATGAATTCCATCGCGAAAAACTGCCTCCCCCCCCCCCCGGATCTTCGTTCTTAGAGCCTAAGGTACGGCAGCTGCAGCTCTGATGAGATTTCCCGGCCGAAGTCGAGGGAAGTTAAATTTGGCGAGAGGAAGATGTCGGAGGAAAGTTTTTCATTCCGCGTCGTCTATATAAAACGGCAAAAACATTCTCGCGGGTGAATCCTTGCGGATGAGTCCTAGTGCTGCCGGCTCGAGGAACGGCTAATGCACGAAATTGATTTAACTTTCCGTAATAAAGTCGCTTATGTTGCACCGACGAAAAAGTGACCACTGATCGCGCGTGTTTCTCCTATTCCCATAAAGAAATGTCCGAGGTAAAAACACGTTTCGCTTCTTTTGTAAAATCAAGCGATATGCGCGAACGCAGCAAAATAGCCAGCAGCAAAATACGAGTTGTTCCAAAATTTTACGTGAGTTAAAATTATATTTTGGTTTATTAAAAGCTTGTTATTTGTCGGAGATACTTGACATTTATTTTTCATTATTTTTTTTTTTTTGATTTTTCATTTGATATGCTATCCCCAAATTTAATTAACTGCACGGCAAATTTAATTATTCATTCATGTGTATGTATTACATACGTAATGTTTATTTTTATGTTTATTTTTATGTTATCCGTAGAAAATAATCAACTGTCACGTTTTTATACACAAGTAAAAATATATGAAAATATTTAACTCGTTCCTATCTCTTTCTCTCTTTCCCTTTCTCTTCTTTTTATGTCTGTCTTTTTGATATGGAAAGATATTCCTCAGGAATTCTATTACGCCGGAATTTTTCTCGTACCTCAATATTGAAATACTGGGTCAAAATTGGGTTTAACAAAGATTCTCTGACGCAAAACGTCAAAATTAAAAAACATTTTTCAATAATTTGATAGACATGCATTCTTAAAAGAGATAATTATAACAGTTATTTTACAAAGGAGGCCTTTATTATCAATTAAATTTTCACTAGTAAAAAAATCAATTACTTAAAGAAAAAACTTTTGATATATTTGACAATTTATTTTAGAATTATTGTACGTAACGATTGATTAAATTTAATAGCAAATTAATATATTATACATTACACACAAGCATTAGCAAATTAAAACAAGATAAGGAAAACTATTTTAATAATTTGAGATAAGGAAAACTATTTTAATAATTGTGCCTTTTTCATTTCACAAGACATTTTTATTATTACTACGTTTATTATTACTACGTTATAAAGAACAATGTATTTACTGCTTTTAATTCAAAAATAAAAAACTTAATCAATTTTCCGATTATAAAGTTACATGATCATAGAAATACACGCTCATTTCAGAGAGACGTTGGTCTCCCGAATGAAGATTCATTTACGAGAGGATTAGCATGAGAACGAATTCCGAATAGCTGTAGTTTTCCAAAGTTCCAACAAACAACGTCTATGCAATCGTCAATCGGGAAACATATACTCTTGCAATTTCACGATGCCGCGGATATATTATCCCCGGGCCTCCAGTCCAGATCGTTTTCGGTTTTCGGATTAGTATACTCCGGTAGTCAGACGAACAGAAACGAAATCCCGGAGACCTCAATCCGCATTACATTCCGCGTTATACCGGGCATTATACCGGATCCTGTATTTGCCGAAGAAGAGCGAAGAATAGCGTCGGACGAGGCTCTCGGCTCGAAGTGCTTGTCCGGTAGGGGGGGGGGGGGGAGAGGAAGAGGAGGAAGAGACGAACTTGCAGAGTCGGCCGGAAAGAAATTAGAAAGAGCAGATGGCCGTGCGACTTTTGAAAAATTATTTTCCGCATCGTCGGATGCTTTCTCCTCGGGAGCGCCTAGCGACGAAATTTTCCGCGTTCCTCGTCATTCCCCCGACAGCCAGCAGTCGTAATTGGATGCCTCGACTTCGCCGGCTTACGACGGCTGAATCCTCCCTGACTGACGGTTAACCGATAATCACACGGACAATTCCTCGAATTCATTAAGATCGTTAGCCAGCACGTCTTGGGATTTTAATTGCCGCCGGCGAAGCGTGTCCTGGTGAATTACATTGATATGCGATTGCGTTCGTTCCGTTTCTGAGATTCTCTCGGCTAATATATCTCATTGATCTTCATCTGGATATATTATATAGATAATTGACAACAACTGTATCGAATCTTCCAACTGCCTGCCTCGCATTTCTTTGTAATACATTGTTAAATGTACACGACTTCAAAATGTCATCAACTTCAACAATATACAGCCAGAAAGAATCACATATAAATTTCACACAGGTGTAAGGAAAGAAAGATTTAAAGAAAAAAAGTATAATGTAATTGTATAAAATTTCTGCATGTGAGTTTTATCTTTTATCATACAACATAATGATAATTAATCCTTCACAAGCGTTCTTAACATAGAAGATCGTTAACTTCGTGTTTTCCTTCGGATATAAGCAATCAGTATTTTGCTCAGTATTTTTACTTAACAAACTTTTTAATCTGCGCTTTTAATCCGCCAATGGACGCAAACATAGTAAAGAGGTCGAAGTTCAAAGAAGTATTCAGCGAGCCAAACAGTTTCGTTGAACCAATTTAATCTCCGCGTATTTTTCCTTTTCGAGATCTTTATCCCTACCATTAGTCACTAGATATCGAATGAGTGCAATAACCCGTTTCAATTTCACATTCTATTTTTCATTTGAATCTTATTACTACCATCATTATTCTATTGCAATATTTATTATATAATAACATTATTTCAGTTTTTATTTTCGTCGAAATAAATCATCGATTTTATGATTTATATAACGCGATTTATTTTATTGCTAATTTAATTTATTTTATGGTTATCCAGTTATCGATCGACTTTCTGTCAAAGAAGCTAGAATTGACAAAAAATCTATACATGAGAGACAGATATGATATAGAATTTTTTTTCAATATATGTGACATACATGCTATATTTCACGATTCTTTTTTCTCATTGCTTCGTGTTTAAAACTTCTCTCGCGACGGGAAATAAATTTCGATTGATTCTTCTGATGACGAAGGGATGCCCATTCGTCGCGAGCGTTTGCTCGTTTGACGATCCATTCAGAGGGCATATCTGTTCTAAGAGCCACCAGCCTAATGGCACGTTCCTAATGCCGATGCAACTTTGGGCGCGAATCGTTAATCCAATTTACCCTTTGCGAGGAGTTGCCCTGAAACTTTCGACCACCCATCCGGCAAGCACGGCGTGATCGGTTATTCGGACCGGCTTATGATAATCACCCCCGAAAGAACTTTGAACTCTGTGCCAAAGTTGGCCATACTAGATATATCTATTTCCCTTCTCGCTGCTCGTTATCGAAACAAAGAGACACTCTTTGCGCGCAAAAATTCTATTCGCAATTTTTTGATTAATCCGATTACTTCTTTTAATTCTTTTCCATTGATTTCTCTTTCGATATTTAAAAATATATTATAAAAATATATTATAATAAAAAAATTTCAATCCGATCATTCGGATTTTCCTCTCAAGCTTTTCATGAAAAAAAAGTAACTTTTTATAAAGCTTTCTATAAAAAAGTAATTCTAATATAATTTAAATTTATCAAGACATTATATTTCTTTGGATACATCTAACAAATCGATAAATAGAGAAAGCGAAAGAGAGAGAGAGAGAGAGAGAGAGAGAGAGAGAGAGAAAGGGAAAGAATAGGAGAAAAAGAACGGCAAAGGAATAATAATGAGACGTTCAAAAGCACAACACGTTTTCGTCACAATTTGAGATAAATTGAAAAATTCCTACGCGGTGAAAGCAGAGTTTTAATTTCGTCCACTTGCAGAAAGCTATTCGAGATATAACGAAGTTGTGGATCGTATGCCAAAATTGTTGCACGCGCGTTTTCACGGAAATCGCTCATCATCTTCCCTTCTTTTGCAATTTTCGAGAATTTTTCACAATTCCATTTCTTCGTATCTAAAGAGACACTCGAGGGAAGATCGAACGGGAAAAACGGGAGTTGTTCGAGTGATTGAAAAATTAAGAATCCCGGTTTTACCATGAAAGATTTTTTAATTCGGCTAACTGTGTAACATGGAAAATCAATCGCGATGAGAACTGTAACTTGTCTTAGAATTGGGACGGTCGGGTACTTTAAAACTTATCGAGAAAAGCGGAATACTGAGAGATTCGATTAAGATATAAAGAAGTAAAGTCCGCCCACCCACCCATCCAATCTTGATCGATTTGTCCGAAAGAGGTTATAACTTGAAAGCACGTTACTCTAATTTCGCTAACATGATGTTACTAATCACGAGGCTCATTTTGCACGATTGCTCCTTACGCAAATTTGTTTTTGCATCAGATTCCAGTTTACACGTTTCATTGCGTAGATGTCAAATGTACAATACAAACGCATTAATTTGCACATCAATGATAATTAATGCATCTGATTTCAATATAATATTAATTTACGTATTCTAACCGGCAATAGTCTCATCGTCTCTGTTAATTAGATCGCAACGTTGCATTGTTGAATTGTGTTCAATTAAATGTTATTTAACTTTATCATGAAAGCTTTGATAAAAATACATTTTATTATTATCAATTTATCATTATCTTAAAGTTGAAAAGTACATATAATAATAATTCGAATAAATGACGTATAAATTTAAATAACCAGCCAGTTTAGAGCAACTAATACAATTTAAACGAAAAACAAGGAGAAAAACTCTTTACCGTTTTGTGACGTCATGGTTTGCCAAAAGCCCTTTCTTTTAACGATGTCTTGTATCCGGAAGGTGTACTCCAAATTTCCAGAGTCTTCGCTCCACAACAATCTCAACGAAGCGTGATCTAACGGCCTCAACTTCACGATTGGACACGATTCAACGACGTACGAACTGCTCACTGGCTTCGTGGGGTCCATCCTGTGCTCCAGTATTTCCACGACGTACCATTTGCCCATTATCTGTAATGGAGTGAAATTGAAAGGTTACGTGAGCGAGTAAAACACGCTAAGTATACAGACAGATAAAAAACATTCTGCATTCGATATCTTTCTGTCAACATGCTTTCCTCCTGAGTCTCATTTTCCGGGATACTCGAGATATTAAAAACTTGCCATCAAGTCAAAAAAATGAAAAAAAAAAGATAAAATCTTCGGGGCTCGGGGAAAATTAGTTCTAGATTGGTCAAAGAGCTCGCAGGGAGAAAGTGCAGGGACACAATGTGTGTGTGTGTGTGTGTGTGTGTGTGTGTGTGTGTGCGAGAAAGTCGACTCAAGGTAATCCAGAAACTTCGGCAAAGAGTAGAGGTATAGATAATTCCGTGAGGAGCTTAAAGCAAATTACGGACGATTTATTGGCTGCACGGCCGTTAGTGATTAAGTCCGTGAAAATAATATCGACGAGAGGGCCGGAATAACCGCCGAGTCCCGATCGGCATAATGCACGCGGATTTGTACTTTTTTTTCTTTCCTTCATCTCGATTTTATACCTTCGTGAAATCTTGCTCTAATCGGATTGCGCTGCGCAATACTAAAGCTCGCTCGATGGTAATCCGTATATTTATTCACCGGACTTATCCTTTATTATCCGGAGTGTCGATCGATCTTACAACTTTACGACTTTTTGCCTCGCCGGCCTTACGGTAAACAACAGTAGTGAGCAATTTTAAATAGAGCATTAAGCTACGAGTACCGCCGAGGGGGTGAGAAGTTCGTCAATCTCACTCGTAGCGACGTGACTGATACGTGTTGGAAAAATAAAAAAGCTAAGAGTTAAACAAGGAAATAGTGACAAAATCAAGAAAATCAAACGCCTGTCAATCTCGCAACGGCGTCAAAGTGAAAAAAATAAAAATCTTGATAATATTTTTCACGTAACGCGACTTTATTTCGTAAGAAAACTTTTAATCTAACAATCGGTAATCTAACAAGCGGCCAACTTTTGCCAGATACGCGATAGATATAGCTTTTATTTCTCGCGATAATGAGAGGAAACTCGCTTTAACTTTCGATTTAATCTACATGTAAAGTTGTGTATTATGCGCAAATACAGGTAATTGTTTATTCAATTCTCTCGTATATTAAACACGATGCTAATACTACTCATCGAAAGCGCTTAGGCCCAAAGTTGATGTACAGCAGATTATCAACTTGTTGAGCTCAGATGGTACGATACTGGTTTTGCCCGCGGGAAACGCTAAGGAGAGTTCACTAAACAATGACTATAATAATCCTTGCGAAGGTCCGAGATCCATAAAGGCTCCTCTGGTTGCTCTGCCTTTGCGATACCAATGAGCTTCCAGGGCAAATGCATTCTTTGCCGCTTCGAGAATGTTCATAAAAGGTGCAATATGTGGAACGTTATTCTTATCAGCAGGAAAAAGGGAAGAAAGGGAGAAAAGAAATTTGCCAAATTCTTCTTTATTATGTTCAATCCTTAGATATACCTTAATTTAATGTTTAACAGATCTTCAGCAAAAAAGATTTGATCATTTTTGAAAAAAATTTCTTTATGTCTTTATATCTAATCGTTAATTATTTAAAGATTAAAGATATTTAATACATTTCTTTTCACAGATCTGCCAAGAGATCTTCAGTAGAAAAAAAAAAAAAACATTTCATCTTGATTTTTGGGCACTCTGCAAACGAAGCGAATAGAATAGGAATATTCGATTTTCGTTTTTACCGAGTAGATACGTGCGTGTCCACGTGTATCGCGTTCATGCATACGTACATGTGCACACACCCTAAGCCTTATTGTACCGGAAAAGCGCCATAAGTCATTGTCGTCGAGGTGCACGTGATACTGGGTCACACGGCGTGGTCGGGGGATTAAAATTAACGAGATAATAAATATGGCCTTTGTCGAATAGACCGCAAAAAATTTCAATTGTCATTTCGTGGGAATCGCCTCGCACGAACAATTTGCGATATCGTTCAATTGAAACTGTGCTTTTTTTTTGTTCATTTTTAACAAACGTCCTAGCTGCATGCAAATGATATTAATGCTAAAATCGAAAATCAGATCATCCTACGGATAATATAAAATTATGCGTACGAACTTTGGAATTGTGCTGAGGTTCGAATAATAAGAATTAGGTAAATAGAAAGAAATAAAAAAATTGTAAAGTTTACAAATTTCTATAATTTTCACAACGTAACTACAATTACTAAAATGTAACTACAATTGTAACTACAATTACTAAAATTTTAAAGTATACACAGCTTAATAGTTTGGTATATAAAAAAAAACAGCGATGAAAAGAAATCTAATATTGAAGGTAATTTTGTTTTTGTAGAAGGACTTTTATGAGCTCGTTTCGCTCTCAAAAATGCTTACTACGTTATTGAAGTTTGAATAAACAAGCTTCTCTCGGCCGTCTTTATAACGTTTCTTACTCGTTTCTTAAGAAATCCCGATGTGACGCCCGACAATGAACTTGATCGAGTTGCTTGATTATTCAGTCTTATAAATAAGACATACACAATGCCGAGAGATAGCCGTATGTTGAAATTAATAGAAGTTTAATCAGTGTCGCTTGAAAAAGATGAGATTCTAGAGAGCATTCAGGACAGATAGCCCGCATCATCATCGCGCTGGCCTTGTAATTTATATCGCTAACAATGGCCGGATAAACACAAGCCTTCATTCTAGTTGCGAAAGTAGTTAGAAAAGTTTAATTGATACTCGGCTGCAACAGCACTATTACGTATAACGCGATTACATGAGCCCTTGGATATTTCCGATTAGCCACTAAATTATGGATCAAAATCTGATCCAGCTTGCGTCCCAGTTATATATCGCGGAGAGTAAAACACTGTAGATGAAATTACTCGTTGAAAATATCATTAAAATAAGAACACGTAAAACGTGCAAAAATATTTTAGGAAAAGGTTTTAGTAGTAATAAACTTCAATTAAATGCTTATAAACAAAAATGAATCATTTATTTCTGAATAATTGATATCAATTTGTTTCAATAAGCCTTTCCTAGTTTTAGTTTAATTTTTATTTTCGTTGTTTGCTAAATTTATTTTTTCTAATAGATCAGCTTTTCAGTACTATTTTTATAAAAATTTTCCGGTTTTACGTTTATAAAATTCAATCCATTCGGTAACGAAAAATCGCATTATTTGTTGGAAGAATTGATATATTCACCATGACATTTCGAACGATGTGAGTGTAATAAATATATTTTTTTGCAAATTGAAAACATCACCGACGTGAAATGGTTTAACAATCGCGGAGCTTTAAAAGCCCGCTATTCCGAATAATCTTATATCCTTTTACTAGATTTAACGTTCATTTATTTTAACCAGCAGTTTTTCACGTGAGAAGATACGCCGCATAAAATTGGATAAAAACCACCGTCAGACCACAGCGATTTTAAGCTCGACGCATTGCCAAACTAAATCCGTGCTACTTGCGCAAGAATCCAATTAAAGGCATATTTATAAAAACACTCTTCCACCATTTCCCTTTCTTCGGAAGAAGATGTGTAATCTAATGCCAACGCACCGTGTTCTATACTATTTGTTTTGTTTTGTTTTTTTTGTTTTTTCTGTATAATGTTAAAAACTAGCTTGCATTTATATGTGCGTTTAAAGCAATCCCGCTTTTTCCGTTCGATTAAAACCAACAATTAATATGTGGCGTATCACGCGAAAGCATTGATCGCGCGATAATTCTTGCCGCCCTGAAGAAATTAACTCGGCTGACCCTGCCTAAATTCGCGAATTATAATTACAAGCCGAATAACATACGCGCGTTTTGTTTGCGTGCGACGCGACTCCGGGCAAAATTGCCGGCAAATAAACCGGTGTGTCGCGCGACGATAAATTTTCGTTTATTAGACACTACCGGACACCCGGCACGGACGCGCTTCCGTGACTTATACATTCGCATATCGTAACGAGAACGTCAGCGTTTTCACGGTAATATTGCAGTAATTAGTAGCAAGGTAAATTACCGCTACGCGTACGCTAATAGCGGGTAATTTCTGAAAAAAAAAAGAGCGAGAAGCGACGTGACGCGTGTTTTTTTCCGGGTTACACCTCGTTTCGGTTGCCTCATCGATCACGTGGCGAGAGAACAGCGATCCAAATATATATTCGGCTGCCCAAACTCGGTTTTGCCGCTCGTGTATTTTTCTCTCACTTCGGAAGCGCTTTGCTTCGCGGCAACAGCAACAGCGGCAGCGGCAACGGCAGCGATGTATCTTACGGAGGTTGATGAGGGGAATATCTCGAGGATACAGGAACTATTCCCTCGTACTTTTCCAAGATACTTCCGAAATACTTGTCCCTTCGCCTTTCGTGTAATAACATACATATTTGCGAATTGAGGAGCCCGTTTCACAGTTCCCGCGGGACATGGCTTTCAGTAATAAGAAAGAGAGAGAGAGAGAGAGAGAGAGAGAGAGAGAGAGAGAGC